GTTGCAAGCTCTTGGCACAGACAGATTACTTACATAGACACAATCAAGTAGCAAATATAATACACCAAGAGCTTGCAAAGAAACACAAATTGGTAAACATCCACGAACCATACTACAAATATGTTCCACAGACAGTATTGGAAAACAACACGCACAAAATGTACTACGAGAGAGCCGTAATCGCAGATAAAACAATTTACCACAACAGACCAGACATCACACTCATTGACAAACAATAAAATCACATACATTATAGACATAGCCATTCCAAACACTCACAATGTACAAAACATGCACTGAAAAAATTAGCAAGTACACAGAACTCGCCCAGGAAATACGGCATCTGTGGAGGATGGAAAGAATGTTTATTGTACCTGTCGTTCTCTCCTGTACAGGTGTGATACCACACACACTACACAAAAGCCTGGGAACATTACAATTGAATAGAAATACATCTTGTTACAGAAGGCCACTATATTGAATATATGCCATATTATTAGGAAATTCCTGAATACAGACACAGACACACTTATTTAATTTTAGTTTTGTTTTGGTTGCTATGCCTCGACTCTGGTCTGGCATAGTACACAGTAACCAGTGTCAATCGAGTATAAACCACTAAACCCAACATAATAATAATAATAATAATTAAAGGTCCATTGAGAATTAAATTATAAACATGAGATAGTGCTGGAGCCCAGTTTTATGAAGACATTTGTACTGTTAAACACAATGGCAATTCTAAAGGCTGACACAAATGAGTCGACAAGGTTGCTTCGACACGTAGACATGCTGGTTTTTATATAATAAGTGGATTCAGGGCCGAAAATGCTCAGTTTGATTTCAGACAAATTTGCTTAGACCAATATGATTTGACAGTGACTCATTTTGCACCAATCTTAACAATAGCTTAACTAGAGGTAGGTTTAAAATTGTGTGTTCTGGCAGTAGGATATTAGAAAGAGTCTGTTGTAAGTGCACTTTTCAATGTTGAGATGTTCAACAAAATTATAACAAGATATTAATCTTTATAACGTTCATATATATTTGTACTAAATATCATATGAAAATTTTTACTTACGGGTGTTCTCGTGCCATCGGGAGCCGTAATGTAGCTGGATCCTACATTTAGTAGCAAGTAATTTAACCATAAATGCCTAATATTTTCATCATTCATAAACATTTAAGCAAAAAGTTAAAATTTTTACCATAAAAATATCCAAAATCTTTATGAGCTGAAATAAAACATTCACATTTACTTGTCACAAATAAAAATGTATTTACAATTCTATATATTAAAAACTTACCGGGCTTTCCATCTGCCGACGTAAATTCTCTAGGAAAAATTTCCTGCTCGCACATTAAATTTCAAATTAAAAATGTTGTTTCTTTCTTTACCAAAGTCAAAATAAAGAATACAAACCGTTCCGACTCTGTTGATGGCGCACGTAAAATAACTGTTGGCTACGGCCGCATTTCTTGCTTCTATGGGCCACAATGGCTCGCTGGAAAAATAAATTTTGAAATAGTTCTCTGTAATTTTTAAGAACGATTGTCATCTCCAAACCATTATTAATTTTTAATTGTATAAATGTCAACTTGTGTTTACAAAAAGATAAAAATGCTAGTCGACACTCAAATATAAAAAGTTGTTCTCAAAGGCTATAGAACCAAATTAGAGAAAGGAACAACTGAATAATTTGTTTGTAAATCTTCCTTTGTTGACTTGGTTTACACTTGGTTTAAAGCTAAGTTAGAATGCGACTGCTTAAACAGGCTTTGAACACTAACATAAAGTCAATTGGTCAAACTAACTGACTTCGGCAAAAGCCTAGACATTCTCAACTTCTAACAATCCAGCAGTTCATATCTACTTTGTAGCAATTTGTATGCAAATGTGAATCTAGCTTTATAGTTTTGAGAGATGATATTAACTTTCTTTAAAATTTTCTTGTTTTGTCTCTATGAGGAATCATTTTAAAATAGCAAAATATATTAATTTTCTAAAATCAAAACATGACAAGAGGTAACAAAATTCATATACACTTCCCTCACCCTTTCTTGTGTCAAGTGAAACAAAAAAGACGAAGAAAAAGATTCGTAACTTTTGTTTTTAGAATGTGATATAAATTAATTGGCTCTGCTAATAAAGTTATTAATAAATTATCATAAATTCGGATGAGACAACCAAAGAAAATAATTCCGAAATAATTTACCTTAAATTTCCTACCGTGGCGGAAGGATTGAAAACGATTTCTGCGCCGTTGATACCATACATCATCCAGTTCTGCGGATGGTGACGACCGTAACATATGTTAATTGCAATTTTGCCTAAAAAGATAACAAATCTAAGTGTAATGAGCAGAAAGAGTTTAACGATTAATTCATTGAAATGGGATGAAATTCTACACAATTATTTGCATAGTAATATGTGTTAATGTAAGATAGCCACCGGGTGGACGACAATATCCCATCAGTTTGTAAAAATGTTCAGTTTTAAGCCAGCCCTACATATTCATTATTTTCAAATGCCAAGCAAACATTTGGCCAATACCAAGTAGCCTTAATGATTTACTAATATTCAGTTGACATTGTGACTAATATTCGGTATTTGCCATTTCCGAATCCTTGTTGGTACATTGTGCCAAGTGAGTAATCGTTCAGCAATTGGCAAATGTCTGGAGCTGGCTTTAGAGGTGTAGAAAGACACACAATTCAAGGAAACAACCAAGACAGACTTATAATTCCCTCGGAAAAGAAAGCGAGAACCATTCTCGCTTTCTTTTCCGAGGATAAAATTGTTACATTTAAAGAATGTCTCCATATAGATTTTGAATATAAACGAGGAGAGTGTGGGGTATTTGAGAAGTTAATACAGAGAAAGTTGTTAAAAAGATCCGTAATTAGCAAATATCAAGTAGGGCAAGAGAAGAAAGTAAGATTATAATAAGACAGATAGGTAGATCACAGATGGGACACATTCCGAGAGAAAATGGAATAGTATTAGTAGTGTTAGAAGAGTATATTGTTGGAGTCATGCAGTAAGGTTGTGTGTCACTTTTCTTCTAAATGACAAGTGAATGAACTTAGAAAAATAAGATGATATTCAAAGAAAACCTACGAAGAGGTTTCATTGAAAATCATAAAAGTGACATACAACCTTCTAGAATATACCTAACAGTATGAAAAAATAGGGAAAAAAAGAGAAAGAAACACAATGCTAGATGGCTCGGACAATGAACTCGGCCTTCACTATGGGAACAAATGAAGAGAATATAGTTGTAGTTTTACAAACTGCTGAATAATAGAGTAGCAATAATGGTAATGATGACAGAATGTAAAAGAATTAAAATTATCTAAATAAAAGACGACAAAAAAGATTTTGAAAAAATATTAGACGCTAAAGAGGAAATTTGTAAGTAAGAGAAACAGCAAATAAAATATGTCAACAATTCTAATTGTGTTTTTAAATAATAGAACTTAATTAGATCATCAAAATATGAAAGTAATAATTAATTTTCAAGTTATGCAATTTATGTACAAATGAAAAATACTTACCCCATTGTGTCTGAAACACAGGATGTCCCAAGTTTCCCTCCATGTAATACGTAGACTGAAATAACAATCAATCTCAAAGTTTTGTCATTTACATAAATATTTTAACTGTACTTTTAATTAAATACACTGAACAATCAATATCTGTCATCACATTGGATGCCAATAAATCAGATACTATATTTTACAGCATATAAGATGCACCCTCTTCCAGCACGGAAAAATAGCCTATTGAAGAACATTTGGGGAATTCGTTAGCCTGCGAGAGATTGCAACTTTATCATCAGTATAATGGTCTATGGTTAAGATTATAGAAATATGTTTGTAGACTGACTCAGCCGATTGCAGAGACAATATTTAGATACCAATGACGATTTAGAGATCGTGTAGACGGCACGCAGTTCAGAAAAGTTTCATTGCAGAGACGGCATTTCTCACTTGCCACTGTTTGGAGAGCCATTAGAAACAAGTTATTTGACCTACTTTCTAGACTCCCTCGTTAGCAGGTTTAGACACAATTGTACCCGAGGAAAAGTCACCATATTCATTTGTTGATGGTGGCAAAGTTTATGTTATAATGGATATTATTCATTTAATAAATATTGTAAACTGGATGAATCAAGAAAATTATTCATCTCGACAGTTACGAAGAGAGAACGTAATTCGAGATCAAAGTAATCCTTCAGAAATCTATTCCGAAGACGAAATTCGAATTGGTATAGATTTTCTAGATCTGGATTTCTTCATATATTAAATCGTATTGGCGACAAAATTAAGCATCTAGACGGAAGAGGATTGCCATTAACTACCAAACGACAGTTGTTGACGGCATTACGATTTTATGCCATCGGAAGCTTCCAGAAGGTAGCCGGTGATCTTATTGGAGTTTACGTCACTACTATATGCAGGTATCTATCAAACCATTATTAAATAAATTTACATTTTTTTGTATAGTAATAGAGACATTTATAATAAGAATGAGGTCTTGTTTAACGTTTGTATTAAGTTATATATTGTATTATTTATTATCGCCGTGTCATTATCAGAACCATCCAAAGCCTTTTAAATGACTATTAAATATGCAATGGCCTATATAATTTTCTAACATTTAAATTGTTATGCCTTGTTATAAAATAGTTATGTGACTATTTCTTTGACATATATGAAAATAAAAATATCAAATAATATCTCAAACTGATAACTTTAATGAAAATATATAATTGATGCATTGTTTAAATGTATATTTCAGGTAATCTGTGATGGAAAGATGAAAATTATAAATATTGTCACTCGGTGGCCAGTTCAACGCACGACGGTAGAATTGTTTCTAACAGTAGTATTAAAGAAAAACATCAAGGATATTGTAATGGATATCTGGTTGGTGACAGCGGCTATCGTTGTTTGCCTTATTTAACGATCCCATTTTTACATCCGCAGAATCGTGCCGAAAGACGGCATAACAAAGCTCATTCGTCGGCAAGAAATATCGTCAAGAGATTATTTGGGATCTGGAAAAGACGACTTCCGTGCATTGGAAGTTGTCCGAGAACCGAATTAGACAACACACTTAATATAATAATAGCCACAGTAATTTTGCATAATTGGGCCATTGGTTTTAAAGAGGAGGAGTTTATTACAGATCATTTAAATGAAGAAAGAGAAGAAGAAATTTCAACAACGAACGAGCAATCAATTTCGGGATCTGCTCTTTGAAGATCTATTGAACCGCAATATTTTAGTTGAACGAAACGATACTTTAGGACTATCACAAAAGATCCTTTTCAGGATCGTACAATTTTGATAAAGAGTGAGCCTGTCACAGACAAAATAATTCTGTTTTTATTCATTTTAAATAAAAATATTATGTAACAAATTAAATAAACATTCATACAATTGTTTTATTCATCCATATTTCCTCAAAAAGATTTAAATTATGATTTCTTAATTCAAATTTCTTTTGGAAATATATTTAGTTTAATGTTTATTCTACCAAATATTTGATTATTTTACCATAAAATTATCAGATTTATGTTGACATTTTATGTATTTGATGTGGTTAAAAATAGTTTTAAAGTCAATATAGAATTTATTCATAGAAAGCTGAGCTAGAAATATAAATTAATGTCTTCATTTTATTTACAAATTTCAAAATTTTGTTTAAAACTTACATCTTGGACTTAACGCATTACTTAGATATAAAATATGAAAATTCCGTATTATAAAATAACTTATTTTTAATCTCTGTTCTTCTAGTATACTCTATTTGATAAACAAAAAGTTGAAAAAGTTGTGAGTTTTAATTTACTCAACAAATATTAAATGAAATTTATGTAATCAAGCAAGTTTATATATATATTTATATAATCAAAACGGGTTGATAATAATAAGTGCAGAGCCCAAACGGTTAGGAGTTGAAAGTTGAAATTTGGTACACAGTTAGGGTATGTCACGAGAACGCACACTAAGAAGGGATTTTTTTTTAAATTCCCCCCGCAGGGGAGAGGGACAGGATTAAGGCATCAACAACAGAAGTGTTAAGAGAAAGCGAAGTGCAAGATTTACAGGCACAGATGTGGTTTCTTTGCATTTTTGCAGGAAATCGAACATATTTTTAGACCCATCTAAAAATTCTCTTAATTAGTCTGGAAACAGGGAGACCTAATTCTTGCATTGTGAAAATGGGTAAGATTGGCTGTAATGTAATAATCTTAATCTTTGCTATCGTTACTTTTGCCCAAGTAATGCCAGGCTTATCTGCTAGTCTATAAGTATATTACTTCAAAAATTTTCATTAGACAGTTGCTATTTATAGCATTTTTAATTAAATACTAGCTGTATCCGGCCACGCGTTGCTGTGGCTCAAAATGTATCTATTATAAATGTATAACACTCCCCACGGGGGGAAAAATTTGAAAAATTCCTTCTTAGTGTACATTTTCTTGATGTATCCTATTAAAATGCAATCAAAAATGCAAAAAACTGCATCTAAAATAGAATAATGGAAGACCAGTTCTTCATGGTAAGCCTTAATTTTGCCCCTCTCACCCTCGGAGGAATTTCGACATCTATACAATATAAAAGCACGTGCGTATTCGAATGCAATGTTGTATCAAAATCTCAAAGCAATCGGTTAAGAACTTTCAGAGATTTGAGATTTTGAACAAACGAACATGTACATTTTTATTTATATAAATTTACATGAATACCTCTTGGTTATTATATATAAAACTGTTTATAACTTACATTCTCTTTTATACTGAATGTCAAAAATGTATGTGAATAAAGAATTTGATATATGTTAAACATGATTCTGTAATCATAAACAATAGCTAAATAGCTATGATAAAATAATATATATATATATATATATGTTACAGTCAAAACCTGTTTTTAGTTAGAACGCGTTTTAACTAGTTGAAACTAGTTTATACTGAATGTCTTTGTTAAAACCTGTTTTGTCTAGTTAAAACTAGTTTTAACTCAAATTCATTTTTGACTAGCAGTAAATTCTAGTTTTAACTAGACAAAACCGATTTTGTCTAGTTAATTTACGGCCGTACATGTTTTGATTTTAGATAAAACTAGTTTTAACTTTTAACATTAGTTAAAACTAATTTTAGCTACATAAATATGTTTGGGGGAAATAAAGTTATGTATAGTGATTCGGTGGAAGATGCCTAACATTTTGCTTATGAAGAAAATTACAGCGCTAATTTGAGTTTAGGAGCCCTCTAATGAAAATATCATATTCTGGAGTATGTCTTTCAAATAAAAGTTTGGAGTTTATTTTAAAAAATTCTATACTGTGTTTGCAATGACGACTTTTTCACTGTCTGGCATTTTAAGCATCTCACCCCAAGTATCTGGGTGAGATGCCAAATGCCATTAGGGTAAGATAACAAATATAATTGCTTAAAATTAATTTTTGAATTTCTTAACCAAATTTAATTTATTGCATATGTAGTACAAAGTACTTCATAGTAAGTATAACAGCACAGTATAAGTATTGTTAAGTTTCCGCCCGTTCTAACGTGTTCTATAGCTAGCTGAAAGCTTTTTTCAGTCCAAAAACTTTTTTGAGAAGTCCTTATATAATTTCTATGCATATCCTGCAATAAAACGAGAAAACAAAAGTTTATTAAAAATAGGCATATTGGAAATCAATTAACAAAAAATAGGCACGTTACCCCAAGAAAAATGTGGCATATTTTCCATTTGTTGGGGTAAGATGCCTAGTAGAGTCACGTGCTCCAGCATGTCCGATCGGGATCGGCGGTAGCTGACAATGGAAACTTTAGAACCTTAACTACATCACACATTAATTGTTTTTAGCAATTTTTAATAAATTCCATTTTAACTTTTAGTTTAAAATTATTCTAGAAACATTTCACAACAAAAACTTCGTTCTTATCTAGCTTTTATTCTTCTCGGATGTAGAAAATGAAGTAACGGTAGCCAACTACAGCTTTCCGCACTCAATATTGGCCCAACGATTCATCATACAAATACATGACAATATGTGACGTCACCGTTTGAAAATATCAAAAATTAGGCATCTTCCCCCGCTTACCATCTTACCCCGAATCACTCTATGCGTTGCAGTCAAACCAGTTTTTAGTTAGGATGCGTTTTAACTAGTTAAAACTAGTTTATACTGGATGTCTTTGTTAAAACCCGTTTTGTCTAGTTAAAACTAGAATTTACTGCTAGTCAAAAATGAATTTGAGTTAAAACTAGTTTTAACTAGACAAAACGGGTTTTAACAAAGACATTCAGTATAAACTAGTTTCAACTAGTTAAAACGCGTTCTAACTAAAAACGGGTTTTGACTGTAACATATATATATTTTACACATGACTTATGCTTCACTTTTGTCTTTCTTTTATGTAATACAACTTACTGAAATAATTACACATTTTACTAAAAATTATATTTTTATTTTCATATATTTTTTCTTTGATCTTCCATCATCTAAGTGTTTATTAATACGATACGACTACTCTTAACTAAAGTTGTTGTCCCTGAAAAGGGCCATTTTGATATTTATATTTTCTGATAATTTTAGTTCTTGCAGAAGTTTCAACTTTTTTAACTTTAATACCTCTATCTTAAGTTGTTTTGTATCTTGTTTCATTTTCTCTGTTTTTATGCCCTCCTCTATTAGCTGGATTTGGGCTTTTTCTAATGAGGTAATGCTATAAATATAATATGAATACAGTCAACCCCCTTATAACACTATTGATAATTCCGTTTTATATGAATTCCATGTTGTACGAGTCACTTAGATTTTACANTTTACTTCATATTCGATTAAATACAGTCGACCTCCCTATAACACTTGATAATTCCGTTTTATATGAATTCCATGTTGTACGAGTCAGTTAGATTTGGCAAATACGTGTGCCGAGCTGTGAACGGCTCACGAATTTGTAAAATC